ATGAGGTGAGATTCTTTCCCCCCAAATGTTGTGAAAAGGATGAATTATAGAAAACAAATCCAAATAGCTGCTTCTACTATGTACAACATTTACTGGGCAATCTGGCCAGCAGCAGTCAAAAACCTTTCCATTATTTTTCATGCTGCTGTATCTGAGCAAAACTACAAACAGCAGCAACACATTACAAATGTGTATTTAGACTGAAAGGAGCAGCAATACTCAGCTTCCCGTAACCTTCACAGACCTAAGATGATCCTTGTGGTCCCTTCCAACCTGGTATTCTATGAGAAATACCTTCAAGAGCAACAACTAGAAGATTAAAACAGAGGTAAACCTTCCCGCATCCTTTCCCCAGTATTATACAGTAATAAGACAGCACCTGCTTGAAGAAGCTACCTGTACATCAGATACAAATGGATTTTTTCAAAAAGCTGTCAGTGTTTCTTGTGAAGTCAGTAACACCACATGCAATATCCCTCCATCCCCACATGCAATATCCCTCCATCCCCAAACCTCAGTGTTGGAGACCCAAGCTGCCTTGCTTATGTTCACACAGCACAAAGCAAAACCGCAAAAGTACTTCATATATGTCCACATAAACTTTCTTATATTGCAAATTATCTCGGTATCTCATCCAGGCTCGCCTTGCTGAGAAAATGAGTACTTCAGTTCCAATAGCACACCATAGCTACCGACACAGCTGTAACACTGTCACAACCCAATCCAGGATCTCTACATGGTACCGCACAACGTAAATAAATCCAAAATAGGTTGTCATGAGTGACCAAACTACAAGGCATTTCACCTCACTATAAGGTAAACCCTATATTTAGGGGACACATGTTTTCTCTTGTTTTGATGCTGTGCTGTGTTTATAACCTGATTCAACAGTCTACTGATAAAGAACAAGGAATGTTTTATGGATGCAATTTCAGATGCTATTTCTGTGACTGCTTCAAAATCAAAAGAGATAAGAGAGGCTTCATTTGATGTTTACCAAAATTCACTCTGGAGGATCAAGCACTGGAAATGTAAAGTTTGACTTTCAGATTTCAACAGTCAAACATGTTCAAAACAAATACTAAGGTCTTTGATTTCAAGAAACATAAGTTGTGATGGAAAATACAAGGATGCTTGTCTACCTGCTATCCAGCTGTTATATGGCTCGGTAAGTTTTGCGTTCTAATATTTAACTTGTTAGACATTACAGGTAACATAACTAATCCACAGTAGAGATACTGACGTACTTGTTTACTGAAATTAAAAACACCACAAAAGCAAAAATTAACACATAAAACCCAGTTCTCAGGAAGAACAGGCAAGTTATTCTCCATGATTAGCAGCACATTTAAGAAAAGGATAAGTAGGTTACTTTCATTTCTCTTTGTGCTATTTTGATCAAGATGCAAAACTAACCTCATCTATCAAAACTGCTGAGAAGATGCATGCTTATCCCCGAGCGGAAAGTGTAGCCCTTATTTCCATTCTCACTGTGAAATGAACTTTTCACCTCCCTCAAAATACCTGACAGCAAGTGCAAGTCAATACCGCAGAAATAGCTCAGAATGATCACCAGGAAAAAATATTACTAACTTTGCAGTTATGTCTTAGCCCTGAAATGCACTGAGGTGCTATATCCTTCCAGATGCTTACTGAAAGGTAGAGAGCTTGTTATTGATGGGAAAAACCCCAATCCTGCCACCTTTATAGAAAAATTGTGACTGCAATGAACATTCTGAATACAAGAGTCTCTCTCAAGGTGTAAAATTACTGACAAGGGCAGCACATCTAAAGATACACTCCTGAACACCACTACCAAAATCTATGGAAATGCACAGCCTGAGAGCAGAGTTCACATATTTTAGAAGCCACAAAGCATCAACACCAAATAGTAGAATTACACAAGCTTAAATGTTTTCTGGTTTTCTTTTTTTCAACTAGCAAAAATCCCCCCAAAAATGTCTGTGAAGTGACCACAGTGCAAATGCATATTCTTTGCAGTACATGGCCTCTTCGTGCAGACAAGGATCAAAACCCATCTGGATGTACCTTAGACGCTGTGAAGGTCACAAAACTGCAAATGACAGTTTATGGGGTAATTGCGAAATCTCACTATTTTCTCCAAGCGCAGAAATTATTAAATGTGCAATACTTAAACTACGCATGTACCAAACACTAAGAATATTCCTTTATGCTTTCGCAAGATCTAAGTAGATGCTACCAGGATTTAATGCCTTTCAAGGTTCATGAAGATAAAATTAAGCCAGGTCATCTACTCACTCAATCATTTATGACTTTAAGAACATAAAACCCACAGATAAAGTGGGATCAAGAAAAAAGACACTATTTACATTCGTGATTCAACTTTCAAAGTAGTCTTCCTCCTTCTGAAAGGCACTTAAAAATATTCTTTAAAAGCAGACCTCTCTTAAATATAATTAACTTTCAGTTATCAGATACTTCATGTCTGTGATTACAAATTACAAAAAATGTCCTTTTCTTAAAAAAAATAAAAATCCAAGAAACTCCACACCACCTAAGCTGCAAAAAGAGTACACTTTCTACCTCGTTTTCCTCCTCCATATTCGAGGCAAAAATAGTATTTCAGCCCAGAAAGTAGAAGTTTCATAAATTGTTACCAGAAACAGAGAATTACAGCTTCAAACACACCTTCCTTCCTGTACCACAGCAGAGGATTTCGGAGTTGAAAATGATTCCATCTCCTTTATCTCAGGCTGCCTTCCCACATGTGCCTTCCTTCCCTATCAACAAGCTATTTCCACTTGAGACAACAGCAGCACCTGATCACACCTGCAGTTCCTGTGCACATTAAAAATCATTTTCTACAATAACAAAGTTAATATCGGGAATCATTAGCATGCACCACTTTCAAACTTCTTTCACTGAGCCATTTCCCCCAGAAAGTGGCATCCTTTTACACTTCATTGCAAGGTAAATTTTGCTGAAAGTAAATCTTCAGAGCTGTTCCTGAGCCAACCACTGCAACAGAGCAGACTGGCAGGAGATACCCCAAACCTTATACACTTGGGCAAAACTACCAACATGCACCAACACAATCCTTCCTCTAAAACAACTACAGATAATTATATTTACATCCATAGGGTTCTATATTAACAGAACAAGTGACTGTCTGTAAAACCACAATATGAAAACCAGCCTGTTGTCATATAAAAATCAAGTAAAATGTACAGATGTACCTAAATGCCTGAAATTTTTCAGTTATTGAAAAGGGGAATAGGGACTATCAATAATATGGTTTCTGTATTTTAAAAAGCTGATTTACCAGTACAGTAAGGCCATGTGATCACTGCTCTACTAGGCACATACATTATTTTAATACATATCCAATTTTCCCCTTTCACTCTCCACTTTCCTGAAAATTAGACTCTGAAGTCTCAATGCGCATACTCAAAAGTATTTTGTATTTTGGAAGATTAAAACCACCACAGGATCTTGCTGGCAAAAAAGAACACGCCAGTGAGAAAGGGGGGAGAGAACAGGAGGAAACAGTGTTTGCTCACTCTATGGCGCAGTTTTGCAAGTTTTTGTTTTTTAAGAACTAGTTAATAATGCAAAGGGAAAGAACTGGTGGCCTCCAGTGCGAACATTAGTATATATAATTTTAAAATTGCAAAAGAGCGTCATATAAAGTAAGAAACACCACTTACCTGTCCCACCCCCACTCTCAAAAATTGGCGAACTCCATGTTTCAAGCAAGGTTTCTTGGTGGCTATGGCATCTCAAGACTAGAACAGGCTGGAGCCCAAGCAGTAAGAGCATATTAGGAGGGGCTGAAATCGGAAAAAAATGTTATATACCTCTTCTGTATCTTACACACAGCAAATCATAAAACCAGTAATTGAGTAGGTTCCCACAGCAGTTAATTCTGTAGACTGGAAACACTGCTATTGTGGGTTTGCTATCCATCATGACTAACAGTATCTAGCTTAATGAGATCTTGATGTAGTTACTTAAAATCAGAGATCTTAGACAATTAAATCACAAATAAACTAATCTCCATTTCTCAGAAAAGCTCATCAGTGTAAGCATTTTTATAAAGATTATGGGAAAGCTAACCTTAATGAAGATGGATGCAGGAATACAGGTCATAACCCTAAGTGCCAAAGGCAACTTGTTCTGTACTTTTGATCACGGAACAGGCAATAGTTATTTACCTACCAAAGAAAGCAAAATCATGGAAGCAGGCATCTTCCACAACTACAGAATTTACTTTTTTTTTTTTTAAGACATCCAATATCTCTCCTAATAAAGCCACAATTCTTACGAATCAGCATATTATTTACAGAATTCACCAGTTATAAAGGAAAAAATCACCTTAAATGTCAGTGACCTTTAATGACATTAAACGTCCTATTTTGACAACAAATACCTTAAGTAAGACACAGTGATAATGTGAGTAAAATCACCTGCTCTGTCAAAAAGCACAAGGCATAATCTGCACAGAGTCTTGTACAAATTTCTCATCACTTCTCTGTAACTAAAGTATGGCTGAGTTAATCTGAGGTGAGGGTACTGCAAAGTGCCACTTAAGTTAATACACAGCCTGATATGAAAAGGGGTACTTTAGAGCTCATCCTTTTTTTATGGTGCAGGTTAAGTTCTTCTTCTTTCCTTCCTAGCCAGCAAGACAGAAAATAACAGAATATAAAACAACTCGGTTGTACATGCAATAGTTGCAGGATGTCACAGGAGAGCAGCTGCCCAGGGAGTTTACTGTTAATCCGAGAGGTAAAATTTCCTAAAAAGACAGCTCTTTTGTCACACTCTCAGTGGTCCAGGAGAGACAACCTGAAGCCAACAGCATAAGCATAACAAGCTGTATTGCACACCAACTAACTAACAACTTGAGACTCATCCATGGCTCCCCATAAACTACCGTGGACGCATCCCAGAAACTCTTCAATTAATAACAACTTACAAAAGAAACAGCTCTTAAGTACATACGTAAGGTTAGTGAGCACCATGATCTCTTAACATCTAAAATAATGAGTGCCAGAAACTCCAATTACAGCCAGCTTTAAATCTTTCATGAAGTAACACACATCCCCCACACCAAAGTACTGTGATACAACCATCTACAGAAATGCATGTTAATCCATACACTAATTAAAGACCTTAAGAATTAGTTATAGAAGTGAAATCAACCAAAGCAGTCTTTTAATTTTGTTCTCATAACATTATTTATTCTGCTTAAAGAAATGAGAAGGAACAGTATTGTACATTTTATACACAGACTGTGGGAATGGGAGGGTGGAGAAAGGAACAGGGAGGATGAAACTTTAGGGGACAGAGATTACAGAAATTCAACCTGACATACTGCTCTATAAAGAAATTAATAAATAAATGCCAGGTAAGTAGGTTTAAACCTTGGCTTAGACCTACACTGTGAGAACTTGAAAAATCAATCAGTCAATCATGCCTTTTAATCTCTTAAAAATGCAATGGGCATGTAATTTGTGATAGCCTCTTTTAATTCTCTCAAAACAAAAGAATAGTTCATCAATGTCAAATAATTCCCAATATTCCTATTTATAAACTCGGGGAGCTCTCTTCAGTGCTATACAGCCGTACTGTGAAAGAACTAGGAACCGCATTATCAGCACATGATGTATGTTCTTCCTTGCGTGCTACCACTCTTGGCTCCTCAAAGCTGTAAAAAGCACTTGAACAATTTGAACTTTGGAAGTTATGCAATGCTAGTTCTGGCTCCACTGCACAGGGAGTACACATTATCCTCAACCATAGACAACAGCAACAGAAGTGAAGATGAGGGTCAGAAACCTGTGGTCACAAAACAAACCAAAATCAGCTTTGAGCCTCTACTGTAAACTGCAACTAACAAGTTTCACAGCCACACTAAACCTCGGTATTCTAAGCCAAGCTTACCCTGCATCTGTTAACCTAACATAGGCTGTAAGAGACAGAAAAAAGGCGACTAATCAGCCAGTAGTCCTTAGCCAAGTTACCTCAGGATTTCTGGCAAACACACCCTTGATGATTTTGCAGGATCAGTTCCCCTGATTTCCCAGTTTCCTTTTCAAATTTCAAGATTCACCTCAGAAGCAGCCACTGACACCAAGACCCCCAAGTAATTCTTCCCCTCCTCAAGCCAAAATATATCACCCTCAGGACTCTGCTTTTAGCAATCCCTTGTAAGACTTACAAGGCTACCTAACAAAACATTCAAGCACTTAAGGCAAGTCATGTTCTGAACCTGTACTTTCCAAACAACTAATTCAATTTACTTCAAAATTAGAAACAGTTATACCCTGGGCTGAGATTACATTTGTGAAATTTAGGTGAAGTAATTAGATGTCTTTTTTTTTGCCATGGTAACATGACAAAAACTATCCTTAACTGTAGTACTTAAAAAGTCCCAAGATACAGAAAAAATCCTCTAGCAAAATCAACCCTGCAAAATGCAAACAGCACTATTCATTCTAAACAGTCTTATTTAGGATTCTACATATGTTTGCTCCATTTAAATCAGTTACAGAGAATCTAGACCAAAATCTGAAATTTAAGCGCATGTATTAAACAGCTCAGTTCTCAAATCCATGCCTTTCATGTCATACTTCAAAACAACTTTCAGAATCACAGAAGGTTGCACCAAAGCACCTCAATCTTTCCAATAAAAATCATCCAAATTTCTCTGCCCAAGCACAAATAAAGAGACTGAAATTCTGAAACTTACCTGTAACATACCAACTATTTCCACTTTATTAAAAAAGATGAAAGAATGAAGTGTTGATAGCATATTTTCCTCAAAAACTGAGGGAGTGGGTAGGACCATATCTTGAATATACTGTACTCTGTATGTCTGATGTATTTTTTGCTTCAGCTCTGGATCAGATATAGGAATCACCTCTTTAAATTTTGCCGTTTTAGTCAGAAATTCCCTGTGTTTCCGCGACTGTGATAAAGACGGATCATATTCTAGGCATCCAATTACGTCCATTATACATTCCTCGGAAAACATGACTTCAAAAAGTGCAGTTCTGTTCAAAAGGAAAATTCCCTTGATAATTTCATATAAGTGGTGTAGTCCTTCAATGTTCTCCAAGTCTTCGCACACGTGAAAAATTTCTAAGAGCTTCTTAATATAGCCCTCATTTTCCAGTGCTAGCGCGAGCTTTTCACGGCGTAACGGTGAAGGCAGTGAAGATGCCACAAGTTCTGCAATTTCTTCCAGGCGACTTAATTCACAGGATGGCAATTCTAGGCCTGGTGATGACATATCATCAAAACGTTCTTCCTCCGATTCGTCCACGAGGTCCTGAGTAATATCCACAGAAGGGTCTTTGCCTTGAACCTACAAAATCAAAAATGTTTACTGCTACTTGAATGCTTTTTCAAAAACAACATTTCAAATGTCACACTCCTTCTTTATCTGGCCAAAACAGAAGTGAAAATCTAAGTTTCACACTGAGCACAGGTGGTTTGGAAAATACGAAACAATGAAAAGATTTGGTCAAACAGAGGCTTTACAGAATTATTTCTACCTTATATTTAAATTCTATTTATTTTATATAAAAAGAGGAAGAATAAGGAAAAAAGCTGTGTTTTCTGAGCACTTAAAAAAGGAAATGCATAATTACTATATGGAAAACAATATTTTAAGACTACTGAACTAAGCTATTTGCTTCCAGTCTTTATTTTCTGCAGAGAGATTTTTCAAATGCAAACCAGTATTACATTACAGCTGTAATCATTTATCTATAGGCTATTTAACGGCTCTTTGATGCTTTTCAAAGTTTCTGCTACCTCAAACGGAGGGGAGAGGCCAGTCTTGTTCATTTAATTGTTGTTTTCATTTCTGGAGAGCTGCAAGTCAAAATCTGTTACTGTGCACTTCCTAAATGCTCAGCAGAGGCACAGAATCCCCTCTTAAAAAGAGAAAAACCCAAACCAACATTAACAAAAGAGCAGTGGAAATTTGGAGCTGTCAGAAATAAAAGGCACAGGGCCTGCAAAGATCTCTCTAGAAACACAATGAAGAAACTGTGGAAAATACACAGTGAAAAAAATAAGAGACACATGCTTGGGCACCAGAGTGTTTCAGCTTTAATGACATCTTCATTGTAGTATCTGCTTGGAGTCTGATAGGTCAAATACAAAATGGTGCTGCTGTGTAGAACAGTAGAAGGTACTGTTCTTTTTAATGTCAAAAATCAGTTTAAAAAAGTGGGAGAAATAATTCTTCATAGCTAACAGCAAGCTTTTACTTGATTTAAAATCGAGAATGGTGTTAAAACCTGCCATACTGTCCTGCTTATACACCAGTTTTCCTTTTAGAAGAAGCTTTAATGACTGAGGAAGTTTAAGATCCGTAAAGAACACTAGACAAATACAATAGCATGGCCTCAAAACAGGATGTAAAGACACTGGTTTCTTACAAAAATCTTAGATCTTCGTATGAGGCTGAGGAAGCCGGGCTTCTTATCTGGGTGTTTCCCAAGAATACAATTTACCCCTTTCCGATTCTGTTTCTGTCCCCTGCTTTTGGTCCCTTGACTGCTAAGGTGCATGGAAATGGTTCTGTACTTATTTACAAAAGTGGTAAACTGTTGAAAAGACTCGTTCCTTAAAACAAGGAATTATCTATGCACATGCAACTGTGGAAACAGATTTCTTTTGCTTTATTTTTTTAAATCAGTGAGAACAAACTCCAAAAGGCAGTGCAGAGAGCTAGATGCTTGTTACAAACAGAGTACATAGAGAGAAAATTAGAGAAATCTCACCTAACAGCACAGAAATTAAGAGAAGTAGTAATGTTTGGAATAGAAGGAAAAACCCAAAAAGCAACCGACAAACTGAACTAGCATCAGTGAATATACTCACAAAAATTTTTTGGGTATTGGTCAATAGTTAATACCCAACCAAATGTTACCCAGAAACAATACTGATTCAGTGACTATATCATCATCCAGTCACAGTGGTAAAACATAATGAGTTAATTAGCACATATTAAAATATATACACACTACACATACATTGTTTGATTTCTTTAAACTGAGAATTATAGCTTTGCGGTGATAATACAGGGATAGAGCTATCTCCAATCTTTCATACCCTGGCAGTTAACAGAAGCATGCTGTCACATTTACATGGAAAAAAGTTCTGTTGAGAAGCTCAATATTCCTCTCACTGGAAACAGAAGAATGAAATAAGAGAAAGAGAAGATTGAGAAACGTAGAAAGCGAACAGTGAATAAGATATGGTTAAATCCATGATAAATACATTACAAAATTCACTAAGAGCTCACATACACTTTTCTCTCTACAGTAAAACTTTGGACAGGTAACCTTTTCCCTTCTGGCCAACCGGGAAAAAGTTAATTATGAAATTCACTGTTAGGAAACTTTTTAAGCGCTCATTTTGAGCTAAACTTCCTTGGGTGGTAATAAAGCTAAGAAGTTACATCAAGCAAAGAGACCTGAAAATGCTCTAAAAAATACCCCATAGTTTAAGTTCCTATCAAACTTCTGGAGGAAAGAGAGAAAGTTTACAAACTCAAAAATGCAAAATTTGGGGGAGGTGGCTAAGAAGATAAGTTTTTATTTTCCATCTACTGTGTTCAGATTCACCTCTTAAAACAGTCTACAATCTTTGAACAAAAACATTAAGATGATTTAGATTATCTCAATCTTACATTTCTCAAACTTACCTGACATATTTTTTCCCATATTTCATCACATCCTGCTTTTTCTTGAAAGCTAAGTGCCAAATCATAATTTTCAGCTTCAGACCACACAATCAAGGTATCCTTTAAAGAGAGGAAGAGGATTTTCAGGCAATGTATTTCAGAATTTACAAACCTGAACAGTGTTTAAAGAGTATAATTTTAGAAATAAAACCAGCTTGACACCTAATTATAGAAGGACAATATTACAATACAAATGTAGTCATGACTCTTTGTAAAATTTTTATGCATTCTGAGATTCTCAAGATTAAAAGCATTTCTGCGTAAATCAGGATAAGGAAGTTCCTGAAAGATACTGAAATTTTTAGTTCTTCATTTACATGATCATAATATTGTAAATCTCAAAAAAGATTGATCCAGAATATGTACTTCTACCTCAATGCATCCTCTGATAAAATATGGTAACAAAAGCAACAGGTTTTGCTTTGTTTTGTTTTTAAATCTGTTTCAATTGGACCACATAAAACTGCATATCCTTTGTAGGATCAAAGTTACAATCATTTGTTTCATTTTGACAGACCCCAGAAGACGCAGAACAGCTGATTAAAAAGCAGCCCCAAGATGCCTACAAACTCTAAACAAGAACAGAAACTTGAAAAAGCACACCAAAAAGTGCCTAAGAGTATGCATAGCTATGACATTAAACCACACACACCAGTTTTACTCATTCCAAACTATAATCTGGAAAGGAAGTTTTGCCCTAGATTTCCACAAGTGAGTTGAAACCGTGCTTAGCTAGGTTTACTACCCAGACACTGACACTGAAGCTCTCATCTACGTACTAGAATAGTTCAAGAGTTTATCAGAGCCCTCATATTGCATACAAAAACAATATATGGAAGTGGAAGCTGATGCTGCAAACAGTAACTTCGCACACTGATAAGTTATTTGATGCAGTAGTTCACAGACAATTTGCTAAATACCTGTTAGAATTTAAAAAAAAATACAAAAAGAGGAGAAAATATAATCTGTATTATTTAAATATTGAAGTTTTATTTTAAAAGTCTTTTGTCTTCCTGTAACAGCTAGCTGAAATATAGCCACATTAACTGCATTCTTTAAGGGCTAAAACATGCATTTACTCACTAGAACAAGAAATATGAAAATTCTTCTACTTATATTTCAATGAGAACCATAAAATAGAGTATTTTTGCTTCATTAAGTACAGATTTTGCTTACAGTGATTATTCCTAAAGGAATTAATTTTAAATATTTGCAAAAGCACTGTAAGTTGCAGACATTTATAAAGTTTAAGACAGTTTATCAATTACGCTTATTTCAAATATTGAACACTGAGGATGAAGAGAAATCTTACATTTCGATTTTGATATGCACCTACTAGAAAACTCCTTAAACTGATCTATCATCTAAATAGCACAATCAGCGAGCTCCAGTAGGATCCAGTCAAGCAATGCAAAATAATCAATTTGCCATTACCAGAGCAGCTCTACTGCTTCAGAGGCGCTAATGGCTTTACCTTGCAAATGGCAAATAGTTTTCCTTTTCCTTTTCCAAAGGGTTGAGGAAGAGGTGGTACACAGAAGAAAGGGATTTAGGAAGACCACCTCCAAAATACAAAAGGAAGAAGAAAATCACAATTAATAGTTTATTCTCTACAAGACAGGTCACGGTGCAAATTCTCTGGTAATAACAGATTGACAGCACCTACTACTGCTTACTCCTATAGAGTAAGAAAAATAAAGAGTCCACAAAAATTTAGAAATGGAAGGTTCAAAAGAAAAAGTTGGTTTTTTTACCATCTTTTAGAAACAGCACGTACCTTACTTCAGTATTCACTGTATGTGTCAGATTCAAAGTTAAGACACTGATCTCTGCAATTAGTATTTATACTACAGCAATTCACTACAGCACTCTCTCATCAGCCTCCCACTGAGCAGCACTTACTTCATTTAAAAAAACCCACCCTAACACTAAATCTTAAGTAAACCCTAGCAGAACGTACAACATTCCTATCTAATTACATTGCCATTTAAATGAAAGTGGTCAGATTTATAAGCCATTTCCAAAAGAAGATCAAAACATATTTTCTTCTCTATAAAGAACATGATAACAAATCAGGAAATGACTAAAAGAACACAAATAAGGGCTGTGTTATTTACATTAACTGAGGTAAGCTGAATAAACAAAAGCTCTAAGTATCTGAATAAAACCCAGCAGTGGACCGAGACAGGTCTGTCTGTCTTTTTCCTCTGGGGAGTGGAAAGGTGGAGGGAGGCAAACTCAGGAAAAATGAAAGGGAAGACCCAAAGGTAAAGCTGCTTTTAAAAACTGCAGTCGCAGATGCACAGAAGTGTATTTGGATAGCAGGATAGCAACTGTTCTGGCTAAACAGGATCACCTGCTATCACACATGGGAGTTCAGAGCGTACTTTTTCAGCTCTACACATTCTGATTTTTTTAACTGTTTCTTTGGAAAGCAAAACAAAAAAACTGCTGAAAGAAATTATTTGAGCAGCAGAACAACAATCTTCAAGTTTAGTTTATTAATACTATTTTCCAACTGCCAACATTAGCTACTTCAAATGAACAGTTATCTGTTATCACACAAGCATTTAATCTTAGAGATTAATATCAGTGCCTCAACAGAAATCTACCAATTGCTACTCTCCGGATCTTCAGTAACAGAGTATTTGTGCATCCTTTCTTGCCTCAAAGGGCTTTTTAAAAAGAGAACATGAAATAAAGTGAGCAAGGCACTTGACTCTGTTGTGTAATATACAGTTCAGTCAAAGTTTAAATTCCTTGTTAAATGCAGACAGTTATTAATGTAATTTCATTTTCCTACTCCTACAAAGCTTATAACCATCAAAAAGAAGAACAGTACGAGCTTTATACGTGCAGGGAGAAGTGACTGAAGGAAATTCTAGATGTAGTTAAAGATAAAAAAAAATAAATAAAAGTCTAGTTTCTGCTTGTTTTATTTAAAAGAATCTTTGTGTTTGATCTGAGATCTCCTCAGTGTAATTTGAGCCCACAACTACTCCGGATCTCTCAGCTGCTGAATGGGACTATCTGTTGAAACTTCTTAAAGACTGCCTCCTCCATTCCAAGAGAAAACAGGAGTGTGAATAAATACGCTCAGTAAGAGCATCTATTGGTTAGAGAGGCAAGGGGATGCGTAAAAGCAGGTCTGGCTCAGTTTGATCAAACACATAACCTTTTTTTGCATTAGGTACAAAACATTCGCTTCTAGACAAGGAACTGGCTGGGATGATTAAAACGAACATCTAAAATTTGTAATCTAGCTTGTCGTAAAACAGAATTAAAATATGAAACTGCAATACTAAATCATAGCTACGCTGTGTGAACAGGGTCATTAACATGGACAAATGCTTTATCACTGAAGGCTTTTCTGCTGAGTGCTCTGCAAGAATCCCAGCACTTCAGCTCCTCACCATTTTCAAGATGCATTAGAGTTCTCAGCAAGACCTTTTTTAATCAGAAAACCTCTTATGGAGAGCACACAATCTTATTCTGAGTCTGAAAACCATTTGCTGCTTTGCAAAAAATACTGTGACAATAGTGCCAGTTGGATGTGCCATCATTACCTTAGCCCATACAAAATTTGCTGTCTCCCTAAGCCCTTTCCTATAAATTTGTCTTCTTTTAAATAACTGCTCGGGTATCATCAGGAATTCTTAACTTTAAGCAATTTTTTTCTTTTTACAAGATCTGTGTATTTAACATTCCCAGAAGGAGGTCTTCATCATTTCTACCAGTGGAGGTTAACTTTTTGCACTCATCTTTATAAAGATACAGCCTGAGGCAAAACTTCTTCAGAATAGTCAGGCATTTCTTTGTTTGTTTTGTTGGTTGCATCCATGGAGAAGTTCTGGTTAGTTTGAGGTTTTCAAGGAAGCACCACTGTGTGCTACAGCTTCTTTGATCCCAAGAAGCTAACTTTCAAACATACTACTGCAATAGCTTAAGCCAGCAAGCAGTGGCAATTGTACTTAAGATGGACAGGGCTTAGGATCTTCCGCATTTTTTCCTCACTTTTTGAAATTATTTCAAAAAGGCTTACTTTGCCTTAATAGAAAGGCTTTGAATAAACACTATCAGTCTCAAGTTCTCACCATAACACTCAACAGAAGTCACACTTTTATTAGACATTAAATCAGTTTTATTTAACTCTTAGCAAGCTGATTAACAGGTGTCTTGTACAGCATTCAAACAATCTCCAAAGAGAGCCCAGGGATTTCATAATGGTACCTAGGATTTGATTCTGCTGCAAAATTGGTTTAATATTTCTTTCCTAACATGATAAAATTAAGAAAACTGTTACTGTTTTGACAATGCCCTCTCAGCTGTAATAAAGTCAGTTTATTAGTTCTATAGCAGAACCATGTTTCACTGACCTAGTGGCCACATGCAGAAACAGCAGAAAAATTAGATTTCACAGGAAAACATGGATGAAGATAAAGGAACACAATCACTTCAAACAGATAAACCCACACACCCTCAAACCAATGGCAGTCAGTCCCCTTGTTTCTCCTCTCACCCCACAAACCCATACACTTCTCCTTAGTCTCGTAGCTACAATAAGCACAAATTTTATTGAAACGAAGTTTCACTGTTGGCTTGCTTGTCCTAACAGTAAGGGTGGGAATTTCATCTCTTAGCATTCTGTTAGTGCTTTTTTGGATCTTTTTGAAATTTAGCTTTGTTACTAGTAGTCTGGTCTCCATCACTGAATGATAGCCACCTTTGAGCTACACAGTTAGTAGATGGTACTCCGGGTGAATTTAAGCTCTGTATTCTTGTGAGGAATGGAAAAAGGGACTGCAAAAGCAGAGGACATTGAGACGGTGAAGTTTCCAGTGCAGAGGCAAGACTTCAGCTATAAGTAACTCAAGTTTTCCTTGTTTCAGGCACAAAAAGGAATGCAATACTTCATCACAGGGCTACCGGATGTACAGCGACGTATCTAAAAGTTGAGGATGTAAGTCTTTACTGTTTTATTGCTAAAACATTTGCAAAGTATATCGAAAAGTATATACCCCAGTCGACACCCGTATTGGCTTTCTCTCTAGATAAATGTTAATAAAGTTTAAGTTTCTCCTTTAAGGTTGCATAGGAAAAGGTGTGCTGTTCTAAGGATCACTTGTTTAAGAACAGCACCTCTGTCACTAGTATTATGAAACTGTATAATTTTAATGCTTTTAAAAAAAAATAAATACAGCATACAAAACAAAGCATGGATTGAAGCATGTAAACTGACTTCACCAGGACATTACAATTACTATATCTTCTACCTTTACTAGTATTTTAAGAAAACAATAAACAACAGAAAAGGAAACCTAAGTTTCCTATGTGTGGTCCAGCAACCCATAGTACAATTAAATTCCACTTACTAAACAAAATTTGCTTTTAATCTGTGTACTACTTACCCATAACTAAATCCAGTATATTCCATACCAAAGGTATAGGACCATCATAACAACATTTAAAAACAAGAATACCAATAAAACTTAACATATAGCCTTAAACAAGAATACAAGTCAGGAGGCCGAGTGGCTGTACTGATGCACATTTTGCTTTTTCAGAAGTCTTCTGCCTACAACTACCTGAACATAAGAAATATTAGCTTTGGATTCTTTTCTTCCAGTTCTAGTATAAGTAAGGAAGTACACAGTTCAGAGCATCTAAAAAGCTTCCACTGGTAGCAATTCCATGTTACAGGATCAGACACACAGACATCTCTATCTTTCTGAATGCACAGCAGAAAATTACTCTTCATTGTGACAGAAAGACTGACCTAATTTATCTACTATCTATGGGGTAGTGCCTATGTGTTTTGTGCTTTAAGGAATTATTTCAAACCTCTAGAGAGCAGGTAAAACTGGGAATACCAGGGACTACATTGTGCAAACTGAAGTATCTCAGGACTGTGCTGATGTATGCAAAATGAGTCCTCAAGCAGATCTCTAGATCTGCGAAGTATTCTTCCTCTCCAACGGGAAAAGTAGACAGTTGTATCTACCACCGCCTAGATAAACATTTATGTGCGCACAGAGACTTGACTAATCCACAAATAAGGGCAGTCATTGCTTTCAATCCTAAACCCCAAGAAATCTAAAGCAGACAACATGACAAAATTTTACTTGAAGCTCAGGTTCACAAGGTATGGCTTTTGGTGGTAGTCTTTGGCATTTTGTTTTTTTGGGGTTTGGTTTTTTTGGTAGTTTCAGTGGATGTTCTACTTGCCAGGAGAACAGAGACAGCAAGGCAAACTTGTACTCAGATCTTCACATCATTATTTTGACAAACAATAATCTGTGACAGTTATCATTAAAATATACATATGTATAACCTGAGACTGCATGATTCGTGATATCAACAATTACAGAGAATCTGTTTCACACCAGCACTAGTAGCACAGCACAGACAGAAGTTCTTTCAACAGTGGAAGAACTTCAGAGTTTACCACAAAGGTATCTATAGGCTTGTTGAAGAGCACGAAGCAACCAGCATAGCAAGTTCCCTCAAAAGCTTACCTATCACACATCTCTCCCTCCTTACAACCACAAATTCTATTAGTTGGTCCAATAAAAGATTGTTTATTCTTACAAGCCTTCCAACAGCCTAGACAAAAGTCAGAATTCATCCACTTATTCCATTAGCTATCCAAAGTGCCTACAAGCCATGCACTGGGTATGTCAGTAAAACAGCTCTGATGGACTGCTATATACCCCTTTCAAAGGGAACGAGGCTCACCCTCACAACAAAACTTATGTAAGGCTGGCAAGACCGTAACACTGGAAAGTTACTTTGAAGCTTTAAGTCTCACATTTCTAGAAGATTTTTCTTGAAATTTTATGAGTGCAACTGACAACTGCAGGCAAACTCAAAAGTAAGATTTCTATCTCAGGCTGCCGTTCAAAGTGGCACTCTGTAGCCAAAAAAGAAAGATCTCACTCACTCTTCCATCCCACAGTTCCACAAACGGATCTTGAGTGAGGTGGCTTGAAACTTCTCCTGACATAGAGTTACCAAATTCTGAAGAGGGATTTGGAGTACCAAGTCAATTTTCTTGTGGTTTAGTGAGTACAGGCAGTCCAGAGTTTTATGAGCAGAGCTGGAAAGAAGCAACTCTTCCTTTCAGCTGCTATGCTCAAAGCTTTGCTCATCTAGAATCAGGTTTAAACTCTGAACTTGCCTTTTACTAAGGGAAAGGGTAAGCAGGCCTCACCTGCAAGATAACATGCTGCAAAGTAGGATTAATACACACACCAAGAGAGATTCTGTATTTCTAAAGCACAGAACCCTACATTCAAGGTGTACTAGAGACTGCTTTGCTTAAGTAATATGAACAGTACACCTGCAAATATAAATTTCTGTCTATACAGCATTTGAAAGCTTTAAGAACAGCCTCTTTCCTTCTCTAGCACAGCAAACATACAGTGCTGTTCTGACAGGGCAGATTAATGTTTAATATTTATCTTTCTCTAAACATATTTTCACAACCACCAGTATTAGATTTGTGCAGCACTAGATTACAATACACGTCTCACCCAGAGCAGCAAGGAGCACAATTAATGAAATTCTATGTGGTGGTTTGCACTGGTCTTACAGTTTTATGCCTACTTTAAGCAGGCTTCATGTTTGCTCTGGCATAAAGCCTACCAATACAAAGCTCAGCCCTCAATGCTCTTTGAACAGATCTGAACCAGCAAAGCAAGTTTACATTAGATCAGTACTTTATGCCATAGAGCTGTGAAATACTTAATGTCATTTTAGGAGTCCTAAAGCTGGAGTTACCATATCATAGAACATGACCTCAAGGTATTGAGGATTACAACTAAGACTTAGTTTGCTTAGCATTTTTCCTGGTCATGTCCTTTGTCACTCTCTGCAACTGATTCTCCACCCACAACGGCCTTACCAGTTCCTGAATACACACTGTTTATATAGTGCGGTGTGAATTATATCAAGGGGCAGATACAAGTTAAATTTTCCAAGGAAGGATATTTTTAACCCAGGCTGGTTCTCTCCATTCAGTTAAACATAAAATACTACCAACAGCTGTAGCCTGTGAGTAAAACATAGTATGTCTATGCTTATAATAAACTATTAAAGCTGAAGACTGAAGCATGTTCTCATGTAACAACTGTACCTGATGGGATCTTAGCAAGTTTGAGCTGACCAGACAGGCAACAAAATACAATCTAGTTCAGCATTTCTAAACCTCTAAGGGTAATTCTCAGCCTCCATAAGATAAGAACAGCAAGTGCAAGACCTACAGTTCACTTCTCACCCATCTCAGTAGCATTCTTTAGGGGCTCACAATATATAGCTTAAATAATTGAAGAAAGGTGCAAACTAGAGGTGAGAAGCTGTTTTTATTTATACAGAATGTTTTCAAGCAGTAGTAACCCATATTCATCTTCAAGTAAAAGCTAAACAAAGGTAAACATGTAAATAGTTTTAAAGCCACCCAGCCATCTCTTAAATAAAATACATTGAAAGTTGTAGTATCTGAAATGTAAAGTAGAAAAAAAGCCAGATGATATTAAGTTTTGGATACCATAGTCCTCAGGAACTGTGATTTTCACAACCATGCTTTGCCCATCTCTCTCAAAACATTTTCTGGTGTAAAACAGAGTGCATGTTATCTATACAACTTCTGAAAAAATACAGAGAAATAACACGCATGTATCATGAAATACATGAAAAATGTTGAGAACTACTTTGCCTCTTATTTTTGGTATAAGAACATATAATATGCAACAGAGGCAAAAAATGGACTGTATTCCTGAAGTTAAAAGAACCTGCCTTTAAACATGAGGGGGAGAAAAAAAAGGTATGTTTACCTGTTGCTTCTGGTATGCAGTGTTCGGGTTAATTTTGGACTCCAAAAGAAGAGACCCTAGAAAAAAAGAAGTTCCTTATTTACATGTGTACTAAAACTTCAATCTCAACATGAACCTTCTGATCACTCTTTCTTCAGGTAGGTACTAATACCCTTCCTCCCAACAATAAGCCTGTTAAACCCACATTCTACAGCTTTGTATTTAATTTTTCCTCTCAAAGAAATCCCCATTCTATGTAATGACTTTTCCATGGAAAAGTTTTTAGGCATGATAAAGTCTAAAAAAAATCAGCACATAAAAATACATCACAACTGCATTTCATAGATCATCTACATTAGTTTTTTACAAATTTGCTAATGATGTGGTATTTGTTCTTAAAGTTTAGCTAAAACACTTGTATTTGTTTGCTGGAAAGTATATTTAGAAACTTATGCTTAGAGCAGCAACCACTGTGACTGCCAATACCAAAAACTTTAGACATGATAAACTTAGAAGCAATGGTTTCACAGCAGCTTATACTGATTTAGGACACAAACCAGCAATTCCATTCTCATGTCTGTGTTTTCTTGCCCTTTCTTTTGCATAAGCAGCCCAGGATACAGTATGTATGTGATAATCAGACACAATTAATGTTTTGTTTAATTAATTAACGAAGTCGCTTACCTGTGATAGCTGCTTCTTCCTAATTTCTAAGTCTGCTGATCTACAAGAAGCAGCCTTTACTAATGAAGTTGTCTTTAGAAGCTATCATCCTGTCTCAACCGCTTTGCAGTAAGGGTTGTTTACAAATTCAGATACAATCCAACAACAAAACTGAACTATATAACCCTCAAGGGAAAACGAGATGCAGGAAAAAAAAGCAATCCTCCCAAAACCACTTATACTACACTTTATTTTTTTAGACGTTTTTCCACTTTTGTAAGCCACATCAGCTATGTTAACAAAGCAGCAGTGTGACAGCATAACTAAAGAAAAAGATTAAAATCACAAACTACAGAGCAGAACAGAGAAGAAAACAGCTAAGATGAACTTTACTGATGAATCCAATACACTGTGGTATTTAGGCCACAGTCTCAAGGTCTGAATTTTGGGTTTGCCTAGTGAACATCTAAAAACAGTATTCCCTTTTCCATTATGATCATCAGTGACAGGCAGTATTTCACTCCAATCTTGCTTTCAGTTTCAAAGCCTCAGCTTCAAATACATTAAATTTTAGAACATTATATTGTGCTAACATGGTTGACTAACTTCTAGAAAGTCTTTACTGTCTAGAAATATTTAATAGCAGCAAATCTGAATTAGAATCTTGTAAGAATTAAAAGCAACTGATAATTGCAGCATTATATTTTAACTGCTGAACACAGATCTACAGACATGGAAATACTGAAATTAACAGAATATCACAAATAACTTGAACACCATGTTAGACAAAATACTATTAAAGAAAATTTTTTAAGATAAGTGAATGCAGAAATTTCATCTTCCAGGCTAGAAGTGGATACTAAAGAATGATCTCTTTACTAGACTTACCACAAAAGAGCATTTCTTCTTCTCTACTAAACCTGACGCTTGCAGGAAAGACAAATCAAGCCTTATAAGGCTTGACTTGTTTCTCATTACCACATGATTCAACTTATTTCTCACCATTTCAGAAAATAACTATAAAAATATTAATTTGGAGACAGAAACATACTGAAGTGTAACCAGTGCTTTATAACCTGCAATGTGCTCCTCAAAAAGGGTTCAACAACTCAAAAATTAGCGACTATTCTACTAGTTAGTTCAGTGAGCTTATTTTCATACACTTTTACATGATCTACCCCCTTCCTGGTATGAGGCAGCCTTAAGTCTCTGTTACCTGCTTTGGGGAACCAGGCAACACTAACAGATGACTGTAACACAAACACATTCTTTAGAAAAAGGTTACAGAAACTTAACATACTGCAAATAAAGTTCTTCATCACTCAAAGTCAGTATCAGTATTGATTCCTAACTACAGTTCAAGATACTTACTCTTGCATTTGTCATAAGCAATTATTTTCTACGTAGGTATTTTTCTCTTGGTACTATTCTAGAATATGTTAAGACTATCCAGTCTACTTCATAAAAATACATAAACAAAATTTCACCTTCATTGACTCAGATGATTTTATTCAAAGTTAGGTAAGACCTGAAAACTCACTTTAATACAAGCTATGGTTTTAATAAATGGCCCAAAATTATGCAGATCTAGTTATTTTCTAAATTATAGCCTTGAGTGAATTTGTAAAGGTAACTGCAAAACATTGGTGCCAGAAAGTAACATCTGAAACCACCTATAAAGAAAACACTGATTTGCAGAATTCTGTTATTTGCCACTGTAATGCAATATACCACAGCTGGGTTCTTTTGTTCATGTAATAACACCATTCTGTGCTGTGAAAGGAATTAGTACTTGCTCAAAGGAGATTACAGACAGAAATACAATGTAATCTTCAGAGATATTTAGAAAACACCAAATATCCCAATCCAGTAGTTTAAAACAACAAATTTGCAGACTTGTTTACATATATACATATGGAGGAGACCTGCTGATAGGGAATACTGCTCCTCTGCCAGCAAGTTCTTATGTAGATCCCTCCTCAAAAGGAGAAAAGGTACAGTGTCACTCATTACTCCTCACCAGTATAAAAACGTTAATGCTTAAATGAAAATTTCAATTAAAGAGTTGGCTTTTTGAAAGATTCACACAGAGGTTTAAACCCTGCAATCATTTCTACTGCTACTGAATCACAGAAACCAATCCACAGAAACTTAGGAAACAGCTCAAACTGAGGTCCAAGGATGTGCTCTGCATTCACAAGAGACTATTTCTCAGTCTAACACACTTCCAAAGGGTCAAACCCAAACATTAAGGAGATGGGAGAACCAGGAGAAAAGAAACAAAAATCAATCCTCCTCACCCCTCACATCTTTTTCATTTTAACCTGGGGTAAGAACAGAATCACAAAATGTTCTGTGTTGGTTTCCTAAAAATAAATAAAATATTCCCTTGCGTCTGAGCAAGGTAAAGCAAACTTAAGCCAAATTTTGGCTATGGCTTCTGCCACTATTAGGGGTTACTTATACTTACTCTAAAGAAACAGAGAGGATGCAGTTGCTCACCCTGTGGCAAAAGTGATTAACATCCAGAATTCAGAAGTGACAAACTAGAACTTATGAAAAGAAAGTTATTGAATAGTTCCTAAAATAAAGCTGGCAAATATGGCCTCCAATGGGGGAGTTCACTTTGGCTTGTTGAAAGGTTTAGTTACAGGACTAGTAAGCTTTAATTAAAAGCTCAGAACAAAAAAAGCCATTTGAAACCATGCACTGAAAACCTAGAAGCATATAGATAATTTAAGAATGAGGCATGCCACAGTAGCCTTAAACACCATGTGAGAAACAGGTAAGAAATCAAAGGCTTTTGATTACACAAACTCACATGGAGGGGGATCAGTTGAAAGAAAAGTGGTTGCTATTGCTCTACAGCAATTCAAGTCAAATACACACGCTCTACTGCAATTAAAGTAGAAAACCCTTTCCCAGTATTTAAGTAAAAAAGTTTACAGTTGCTTAAATGTAAAAAACCTCCTAACAATTCCCTCTTTAAAGCATAATATATGTGATCTGAAAGCAGTTTATGGTATTTCTGTACTATAATTATTTCAAATTGCCTGCAATAACTGTTAAAGTTTAGTGCCTGACAGGTATTAGACATCCCAGATAGCAACACAAATCAATCACCTGCTCTCAATTATTTTAAGATGGTGTTAAAAAAAACACAAACCCAAGAAAAAAACCCACCTTTTTAGATTAAAAAACTGCACTCTTCCTCAGTTCTTACTGCTCCAATTTCAGATGATAGCTTACCTTGGACTTGGGATACTGATAACAGCTCCCTTAATTGAACACCCTGATCCCGCCATAAAATCACAACCACTTGCAAAGCGGCTACAGAGCTACACCAAGTCACAGCTGCACAATCAAAAGCCTGAACTATGTGCTAGTCCACATGGCCAGCAAAATGAACCTCTGGTAATGCTGCTGTTGCTCTGGTCCCTTTAACAAGGATAGGAATTTCTCATACACAGCAGGAACTACTGCTAACATCCCCCACTCAGGAAACAGGGCCCGTTTCAGGCAGATCCTGAGGTTTTCAGTCAGCTTCCTGGAGTAAGTCAGTAAGAACATCCCAGCGTGCACAGGATGAATCTCAGTTCCAACGCTAGGAAAAGCTGGTTTAGAAAAGGAGGAAGGAAGAAGTTTCGTTGTGGGAAAAGGAGGAGCTGACAAAAAGACAATACAAGAACGCAATGGGAACATGGAGCCAAATGGTGTAGAGGTCAGGTTCCAAGTACTTGTGTGTTTTTGATAACAGGAAAGAAAACAATCACAGTCGACAACTTCATTCAGTTAAAAAAGCATGCAAGGGAACACACAAATTGCAGAGTATCTAAAACACAAGTCTGGCATTACTTTTTTTCCAAACCATTTGCTCCCATGAAAAAAAGACTGCAAAATTAGTCCACAAACAACTGACACTGGGAATAAACACAATATAAATCAAATTTTATGAGGTGTTTACACAAGCAAGCTAGAAAAACTAGCCTATTAATAGAGTGCACGTTTACCCACGACAGATACTACCTACTAAATTAAGAACTTAAGCTCTGTATATTATTCAGTACTCTTGAAGTATATGTATTCTGTTTGAGAGAAGTCTAATGTGTGTATCCCATTAAATACGCTTCTGTGTATTAGGTGTGACTAGTAAGTTTGAGCCAGTTCTGCTTTGATAAGAGTATCTTAGCTATGCAGCACAAAGCAATGACAGTTTGTATTTTCCTTCTTACAAATGTTCATTTACAACAAATAAGCCAGCAACAACAGCCCAATTCAGGTTCTAATCAGTCTTAAGCATACATATCCCACTGAAAGTCAATAAAGTTATTTTAGTGTGAATGGGCTATTTTCTTCACAAGCAGGTTATAAACTGCAGCTCTTTTACTTCCTTTTCTAAAAAGAATTTTTTAAAAAATCAGGAAACTTAATATATGGAAGATATGACAGTTTTTAAACACGAGCACAGCAGCCATTTAGACAGCAAGGACTGTATCTACAACAGTAGATGATGACCTCTATAATGATGACCTTAAAAAAATTCAGTGATAAGCTTCTCTTTTACCTCTCTCCCTCCTGTTGAGATTAAACCAAGTCTATTTCCATTTGAATGTCTTCTCTCACACTATTAAGTTGGCTAAACTATAAATGCATCTTCTTAAGGATAAAACAAATACATTCAAGTACCAATTTAATTTTTTTGAAGTACAATCAGGAAGCTACAAAACCCTGAGATTTATGCTTATCAGAATCAATTATCACAATCCTTCCTAGTTGAAAGTTTGACTCCTCCGTATCAGTTTATGATCTTTGCTGTAGAGATTACTGTACAGTTTGTCAGAACTTTCTCAAACAGTAAGAATTAATGATTCTGAAGTTGCTTTTCATCCTAGTTCCTAGAATGAAAAAGCCAAATAAATTACAAGTCTCGTTGACAGTCAGAAGATATAACTAAGTATACAAGTCATTATATTCAGTAGCTATATATCTAACGAAGTCATATCATGCACTGACAGACTTTGTCTTTGATAGATCACTAGATATCCAAAGTCATACCAAAAATTAAAGCAAGACCTGAACATATTTCATATGCAACTCTCTGCACTATGAGCCAAGTGCCCACTATGCTTGCACTTGGTGGCAATCTTCCCTTTCTTTCACCTAGTCTAACACAAATGAACTATGGTTAGTGCCTACTTGCTTTTAGGAATCACATTTGAATAATGCAGCAAAACAATAAGGCAACAGAGACAAAACTAAGTCCAGTTCCTTTTCTGGGTAGAACGAGGAAAGACTGTGCCTTCAGCCATACACACTTACCATCACTCTCTGCCCTGACTAGCAGAGACATGCCCTTCAGTCTCTCCACGTAGCAGGAGGACACATGCCCTGTGCCTCGATCATCCCACTGGCGGTCCTCGTTTAGCGTGTAAACCTTCACCCTCCGCCGGGTGTCAGTCATCCTGCTGCCTGCCACACCACAGCCACCGCTCTGGCTTGCAATTCCTGGAGGAGCAGGAGGCTGGTCGGGGGCTAGGCCCCCCTCAAATGAGGGGAGCGGGAAAGAAGGTAGCAGCCCCACACGGGCACGCCAAGCAAGCTCTTCTTACTCCTCTTCAGTTCTCCAACGGGATCCTCATTATCGAGGGTAACAGAGGACTGGGGGTTGCAGGGGAAGAGAGGGAACAAGAAAAGAGGTGAAGATGCGAAAGAGGAGCTGCTCCAGGCAGTCAGGAGTTGCACAAAAGACGAGTGAGCCTACGCAGGGGAGAGCCGCTCTTCGCAGACAGGAGAGGCGATGAAAAAGGGATCCTGGAGAAGTGCATCCACAGGAGTGGAAGCAGCGGTGGAGAGCAGACGGCACGGGCGACACC